GCCTGCTTTACAAGAGCTCCTGAAAGAGGCACTAAACATAGAAAGGAACAACCAGTACCAGCCGCTCCAAAAACATACCAAATGGTAAACGGCATCAACACAATGAAGTAACTGCATTAACTAATGGGCAAAACAGCCAGCTAGCATCAAAATGGCAGGATCAAATCCACACATAACAGTATTAACCCCAAATGTAAATGGGCTAAATGCCCCAATCAAAAGACACAGACTGGCAAATTTGATAAAAAGCCAAAGCCCATCGCTGTGCTGTATCCAGGAAACCCATCTCATATGCAAGGATATACAAAGGCTCAAAATAAAGGGATGGAGGAAGGTTTACCAAGCAAATGGAGAGCAAAAAAAAAAGCAGGAGTTGCAATTCTTGTCTCTGATAAAATAGACTTTAAATCAACAAAGATCAAAAGAGACAAATATGGACATTACATAATGGTAAAAGGATCAGTGCAACAAGAAGAGCTAATGATCCCAAATATATTTGCACCCAATACAGGAGCACCCAGATACATAAGGCAAGTTCTTTTTTTTTTTTTTTTTTTTTGAGAGGGAGTTTTGCTCTTGTTACCCAGGCTGGAGTGCCATGGCGCGATCTCGGCTCACCGCAACCTCCGCCTCCTGGGTTCAGGCAATTCTCCTGCCTCAGCCTCCTGAGTAGCTGGGATTACAGGCACGCACCACCATGCCCAGCTAATTTTTTGTATTTTTAGTAGAGATGGGGTTTCACCATGTTGACCAGGATGGTCTCGATCTCTTGACCTTGTGATCCACCCACCTTGGCCTCCCCAAGTGCTGGGATTACAGGCTTGAGCCACCGTGCCCGGCCTAGGCAAGTTCTTAATGACTTACAAAGAGACTTAGACTCCCACACAATAAGAGTGGGAGACTCTAACACCCCATTGTCAATATTAGACAGATCAATGACACAGAAAACTAAGAAGGATAACCAGGACTTGAATTCAGACCTGGACCAAGTAAACCTAATAGACATTTACAGAACTCTCCACCCCAAATCCACAGAATATACATTCTTCTGTTTGGGACAAGCTTTATCATTATCCAGAATGTGTCTCCAAGTAGAAAGTTTGTGTGATTATTGCACAACTTCATTTTTTTTTTTTTTTTGACAGAGTCTCACCCTGGCACCCAGGCTGTAATGCATGATCACAGCTCACTGCAGCCTTGACCTCCCCAAGCTCAGCTGATCCTCCCACCTCAGTCTCCCAAGTAGCTGAGACTTCAGGCATGCACCACCACACCTAGCTAAGTTTTGTATTGTTTGTAGAAATAGTTTTTCACAATGTTGCCAAGGCTGGTCTTGAACTCCTGGGCTCCAGTGACTGCCTTAGGAATCAAAATGCAGGGAATACAGGCATGAGCCACCACACCTGGCCCAAATGATTCTCTTCTATCAGGGATCACAGTCCTTACACAAACCAATTATTACATCTGGCTCCAACAGAAGGTCATGTTTTTTGACACTGGTGATGTCACTGGAAAGAAACACTCTTACACATTACTGGTAAGAATATAAATTAGCCGGGCACGGTGGCTCAAGCCTGTAATCCCAGCACTGTGGGAGGCCGAGGCGGGTGGATCACGAGGTCAAGAGATCGAGACCATCCTGGTCAACATGGTGAAACCCCGTCTCTACTAAAAATACAAAACATTAGCTGGGCATGGTGGTGTGTGCCTGTAATCCCAGCTACTCAGGAGGCTGAGGCAGGAGAATTGCCTGAACCCAGGAGGCGGAGGTTGCAGTGAGCCGAGATCGCACCATTGCACTCCAGCCTGGGTAACATGAGTGAAACTCCGTCCCAAAAAAAAAAAAAAAAAAAATATATATATATATATATATATATATAAATTAACATTTTGAAAAGTAACTGGTCATAATCTATTAAAATTTAAAATGCATGCATACTTTTGACTTGGCAGTATATAAACAAAATACAAGAATAAGCACATAAAGGTATTTATTGCACTAGTTTGCAGAAATAGAAAACTCAACCTGAATACTCAGCTTATGGGGAATGGGTATACCATGGCATTGCTGTTACTAGATTGCTACGTGTAATTCTGCAGGCATTTAGAAAAAGAAAAGCAAGGTGCAGAAGACAAATACCAACAAAATGTAATGTACAGACCTCATTTAAATCTGGACTCAAACCAACTATTATTGCGAAAGGCTGACTTATCAGTTCAAGATACATACTAAAAATATGTAGGGGGGAAATGGTATATAGCATATTGGTTGTCTTTAAAATATCCCAGTGGAAACTTATTGGGAGATAAAACAAGAAAGGCAAAAACAGGGTGATTATTATAGAGGTTATGGGTACACTGTCCTCTTTTATTTTTGGATATGTTTAAGTTTTAAAATTAAAACAAATTAAAGTGACAGATATATTTGCAGTTATCCTACTATAGTATACTGTTACCAGACTGAAATAAGACCCATACTTGAGCACAGAAGAAAACGTCAAAAAATAAACAGGGCTGGGCGCGGTGGCTCAAGCCTGTAATCCCAGCACTTTGGGAGGCCGAGGCGGGTGGATCGCGAGGTCAAGAGATCGAGACCATCCTGGTCAACATGGTGAAACCCCGTCTCTACTAAAAATACAAAAAATTAGCTGGGCATGGTAGTGCGTGCCTGTAACCCCAGCTACTCAGGAGGCTGAGGCAGAAGAATTGCCTGAACCCAGGAGGCGGAGGTTGCGATGAGCCGAGATCGCGCCATTGCACTCCAGCCTGGGTAACATGAGTGAAGCTCCGTCTCAAATAAATAAACAAACAAACAAACAAACAAACAAACAACAAAGTTTTAACAGATGAGTGCGATACAACAAAGGTGGTTTTTTAAGAAATCATTTAGCCGGGTGCAGTGGCTCACACCTGTAACCCCAGCACTTTTGGAGGCTGAGGTAGGTGGATTACTTGAGGTGAGGAGTTCAAGACCAGCCTGGCCAACATGGTGAAACCCTGTCTCTACTAAAAATACAAAAATTAGCCAGGTGTGATGGTGTGCAACTGTAATCCCAGCTACTCAGGAGGCTGAGACAGGAGAATCACTTGAACCCAGGAGGCAGAGGTTGCGTTGAGCTGAAATCATGCCATTACACTGCAGCTTGGGCAACAAGAGCAAAACTCTGTCTCAAAAACAAACCAAAAAAAACCCAAACAGACAAAGATAATGTATTAGATAACAGCACTGCATATAAAAAAGGTAAGTATTTCTTGGGAACATTTGTTTTTCTATGAACAGCTTTGTACACAGTAACTCAATTTTGAGGTCTTGAGTTCCGAGAATACTGTGCATCATTTGCTTGGGATCAGACATAGAAGAACTGTAGGCATTGATGGCTGCTCCAGTATATTATTCTCACTCATCTTCACTCACTGAACACCATTAATCTCTTCTGATCATCATCGATTTCTCATCATCAGCCCTCATTCAACAACATTCTAATTAGTACATTTAAATTATTTAAAGCTGTTTTTATCTTACTGAATTTGTGTCCATTACGTGCTAATACATTACATTTATTGTCAATACAGTATCTATTGAAGTATAGAGGGAAAATATAATTCATACATTATGTTTTTCAAAATCACTGCATGCACACATATATCTGGTAATTAACTGTTAACTGGCTTTTGAATGTTTTACATTATTCAGAAGCCCTGACGGAAGTCATTTAGGTGGTTTAAGTTGAATTCAAATTAAAATTGGTTAGGATTTTTTAATGAACTGAAAACATAGTATTTTTCCTATTTAAAATAATGGGGCCAAATAAAAATAATTAAAAAAAAATAAAATAATGGGGCCAGATGTGGTGATTCACACTTGTAATCCCAACATTTCAGGAGGCTGAGGCAGATGGACTGCTTGAGCCTAGGAGTTCAAGATCAGATGGGGAAACATAGGGAGACCCCATCTCTAAAAAAATTTTTTTTAAAAAGGAGCCAGGCTGTGGTCAGTAGAGGAGGGCTAGGGGAGACACAGCAGGGGTGGGAAGGGTGGGAAGGGATAATGAGGGGAGAAATACCAGATGTAGGTGACGGGGGATGAAGGCAGCAAACCACCTTGCCATGTGTGTACCTATGCAACAATCCTGCATGATCGGCACATGTACCCCAGAACCTAAATTACAATAAAAAAAAAAAGATTAAAAAAAAAAAGGAGATTGGCATGGTGGTGAACAGCTATGGTGACAGCTACTCAGCAGGCTGAAGTTGGAGGATCGCTTAAGCCCAGGAGGTCAAGGCTGCAGTGAGGTGTAATTGTGTCACTGTACTCTAGCCTGAACAAGGAGAGGGAGACACTGTCACACACAAACAATAAATAAACGAAATGTAGGCTCTGAGATCTGGGTCTCTAAAAATTTACTATTCAGTGTACAGAAATAGGTTAGATTCAAATGAGGAAAAAATGTAGTTGGTAAATTTTGTTTTTATTTCCATTTAAGGCAAATACATATTTTATACACACACACAAACACACATACATATATACATGTATATATTACGATGTATTATATATTAAGACATATTAATATTTTATATATATAACTACCTTGACCATCATTTTGTTGTTAAGTTCTTTTTCCCTTAAACTAACAAGAAAATCTGGGTCAAAAACTTTTGCTTTCAGAATTTGCTGTAGAAAAATAATCTCTCCTTCACTTTCTTAAAAAACAAAACAACAAAAGACATCAATAGCCCTAAAGCAATTTCTGCAAGTTTCTTTCTGGTATGGATTATCTGATGCTGCAAAACTGATGTGCTCTGAAGTCCTTCATATCTTTACTACACTCTAAAGGTCTTGTTCTAAAATAAACTATCTGTTGTTCAAAAAGGGATACATGATAAGAGAATGCTTGCATTTTTTTATTGTACTCATAAAATATTCCCACCATTTGAGTTCTCTAACAGTATGTAATGATAATGGTAATCATTTTAATAATAAATATCAGATATTACCCAAAGGGAATTATATGTATTTAATTATTTATAATTTCATCATTATAATAAAATTACAGTATTTTACAAATGAAATTAAGAAATGTATCTGATTTCAGCTAGGATATGGTGAAATGGAGATGATCCTTGATAAAGGATATAATTCAGCTTTATATTCTAGGGTTATACAAATGTAAATTATCTAAGGGGTTTCTGAAGTCATTCTGCATCCAGGTTAATATAGGCCTTCTAAGAATGAGTCGATTCTAAGCAGAAGCAAAAGGATGTCCTACATTCATATAGATATAATATTGATGATGAAGACCTTCTTATATTTAATCACATTCCAGGCTTTCTCAATTATGAAGCTTTATATGTTGAGTAAGTTGTGAAGGACGTCTAAAGTCTTTGCCACACTGGACACATGTATAGGGTTTCTCACCAGTATGGATCCTTTGATGCAGAGTAAGTTCTGAACCACGACTAAAGGCTTTCCCACATTCCTTACATTCATAGGGTTTCTCTCCAGTATGAGTTCTCAGATGTTCAGTAAGGTGTGAACCACGAATAAAAGCCTTCCCACATTGTTTACATTCATAAGGTTTTTCACCTCTATGAATTCTCTGATGTTCACTAAGCTGTGAGCCATAAATAAAGGCCTTGTTACATTCCTTACATTTGTAGGGCTTTTCACCTGTATGAATTCTTTGATGATATGTAAGTTGTGTAGTACGAACAAAGGTCTTCCCACATTCCTTACATTCATAATGTTTCTCACCATGAATTTTCTCATGTTGAGTAAGATATGCAACACGAATAAAAGCCTTTCCACATTCCTTACATTCAAAGGGTTTCTCACCTGTATGAATTCTCTGATGTTCACTAAGTTGTTTGCTACAAATAAAGGCCTTTCCACATTCCTTACATTTGTAGGGCTTCTCTCCCGTATGAATTCTTTGATGTTGAGTAAGATTAGAATTAGAAATAAAAGCTTTCCCACATTCTTTGCACTTATAGGGTCTCTCACCTGAATGAACTCTCAGGTGGTAAGTAAGTTGTGAGCCACGAAAAAAGGCCTTTCCGCATTCTTTACATTCATAGGGCTTCTCACCTGTATGAATTCTCTGATGTTCATTCAGTTGGGAGGCACATAAAAAGGCTTTCCCACATTCTTTACATATATAAGGCTTTTCACCAGTATGAACTCTCTGATGATATGTAAGGTGTGAACCAAGAATAAAGGCCTTTCCACATTCCTTACACTCATAGGGTTTCTCACCACTATGAATTCTTTGATGGTAAGTAAGTTGAGACCCAAGAATAAAGGCCTTCCCACATTCTTTACATTCATAAGGTTTTTCACCACTATGAACTCTCTGATGAAGCGTATATTGTGAACAGTAGCTAAAGGCTTTTCCACATTTCTTACATTCATATGGTTTCTCTCCTGTATGAACTCTCTGATGTTCAGTGAGCTGTGAACCACGAATAAAAGCTTTCCCACATGCTTTACACTGATAAGGTTTTTCATTAGTATGAATTTTCTGATGTTGAATGAGATCAGAACTACGACCAAAGGCCTTTCCACATTCCATACACTCATAAGGTTTCTCACCAGTCTGAATTATCTGATGTTGACTATAGCTTGGCTTTTTGCTGCAGGTATTCCTATGCTTCCTGACTTTAGAGCGTTTTTCTGTATTATGATTTTTCTCATGTTGAATAAGGCATGACAGGTAGCAAAAATCTTGTCTACATTCCTTACATTTGTGCAATTTTTCCTTGGTAGGAATTATCTGGTGAAAAGTAGAAGAGGTTGAATGGCTTTCAGTGGCCTTTTCTTCACAGGTAATTTTGACATACATGTAAAGTCCTTCCTGACTTCCTTCTTGACCCCCTAAGTTGTCTTTGCACTCCATATTGTCTCCAGGACCATTGTATTGAACGTGATGGTTGATAAACTTCCCCATATTCTCCCACTGGAGTGATTCCATTTCATAAATTTCCTTTTCTGAAGATAACTTGTTAATCTCACGACTGGATTCCAAGTCTGCAGAATAACAAGGAAGCAAATTCCTGCTTTTGTTTACAAGGAGAAATAATTCTATGGTAAAAAATGATAGATAAAAACAATTCTCATAAGAATAGAATGGCTTAAACAGTACAAAAATATTTTGTGCCATTTTTCTTTAAAGGCACAAGGAAAGAATAAAGAACAAGGAGAGCTTACAGGAAAGAAGGCAATTAGAAAAATAGGTTAAGTCAGTGGTTCTCAAACTTTGGAACGGCTTAGAAACAGCCAGGAAGCTTATAAAATAGAATAAAAACACCCTCTTGAAAAGAAACAGATGTCTAGCTGGACATACAATCTATCAACAAATCCTATTGGCTCTCCTATCAACATTTATTAAGAATCTGATCACCTCCACTGCCACCATCCTAGGCCAAGTCACCTATCTCTCACTGTCATAACCTCTTAGCTGGTTTCCCTACTTTCATCCTTGCTTCTGTAATCTTATTCTTCACAGAGCAGCCAAAGGAATTCTCTTAAAATGTAGTTTATATCACATCATTCCCCTGCTAAAAACCTTCCAATGGTTTGCCATCTCAGGATAAAATCCAAAGTCCTTAATATGGCTCACAAGACCCTATACAAGCTTGCCCTTGGCCACTTTTCTTGACGTGGCATTTCCTAACATGGCCACTTTTCTATATCATCACCTACCACTCCCCTAAGTATTCATTTGGCTCTGGTCATATGGCCCCCTTGGTGTTAAAAAGTGTCAGGTCAAGCATATGCCTCTGTGTTTACAGTTTTGTCTTTAGAATGCCCTTCCTCTAGATATACGTATGGCTTATTCCCTCATACAGTTTTCTGCTCAGCTGCCACATTATCAAAACATACAACACATAACTGTACCTGTATTGCATTTTTCACTAATGGATATACCATTTCGAAAGTCTGACTACTGTCTGTCTGTCCCATGCTTAATCAAAGCAAGGACTTTGTTTCATATACTGCTTTATCTCTAGTGCCTAATGTCATTCCTGCACATTGTTGGCATTCAATATTTGTCAATTTTTAAATGTAAATGTTCCTTCATTCACAAATCTCCTTAGATGCCTCTCATACAACACAAAGTTTGAGAACAGAGCTAATAATCTTTCAGTGGTTTACCCTTGTACTTAGAACAAAATCCAAACTCCTATCCATGGCCTACAAGCCCCTTTATGATCCAATTCTTTCTTAAATTTCTCTAATTTCTTCAAAATTACCTTTTAAGTCTCATTTTGAGCCACTACTATCTTCGGGAACAATGCTCTAATCTTATTGGCCTGAGAACATGTCAAATTCCCATTTTAGGTTTTCTATATGCCATTCCGTCTGCCAAGAATGCTAAGTGGCCACCTCCTTTGCTTCTGAAATATCCTAGCTTAAATGTTAGCTGCTCAGAAAGACTGTCCTGGATCACTTTAATTAGGTCCATGCCATGTATTTTCTATACCTATGATTTATTCCTAATTCTTGTTTGAATGTTTGCAATTCTAAAATTTCATTTATTTATCTGTTGATCTTTCTTCTCCTCAAGTTCTACATGTATGGGGGGAAAATTTCTGTTTTATTATATAGCTATATCACAGAGCACAGTATACATACAATGTTTTGTTCCTTTCATATAGTTTTTTAGGTCTTACTTTCCAATATTTTCTACTTAAGACCAAATGTTCTTTTATTTCACAAAGAAGTACCTCAAAATGTCCTAGAAATAGTGACAAGTTTACACAATAAAGATGTTATGTTATTCTGAAGAAAGAAGTTGGGGAACAAGTGTACTTTACAAATGTGGAGAAACTCTATCTGATGTAACTGGATCAGCAGGCACAGGCTCTCTGACCACTGTGTATAGGCTGGAGAATAACAGAGAGTGGTAATGGGAAGAAAAATACAAATCAGTAAGTTCAAATTTAAACTGTCTTTTAGAAATAAGCCTCAGAAACTTGAGAAAACATGCTTTTGCTGAAAAGCAAAAAGAAATTGTAAAAACAAAAGCAACTACCCCCCACCCCCACCCTGCCATATACACAGCACAGCTCAGTTTAACACCAGTTCATGTCAGCAAAATATCTTGGAACAAGATAGATCCTGCTTTTATTTTGTTTCTTTTATAGAAGAACAATATGATTTATAAAACACTTTGAAAGAAATCAATGGGTTTATGGTGATTAAGGGAACACTATAAGGAATCAAATAAATTCAACTGGAACCCAAAACAGCTACCTATGTGCTAGTGGCCTAATAAAAATGGGAAAAAATATAAATCTAATATGATTCTGGGTTAGGAGGCACTATAAGAACATAGGAAGGTGCTAAACAGAAATCTAGAGGAATGAAGAAAAGGTGAAGATTGGAATACCAAAGTCTCAGAACTGTGCCCAGAATGAGGGGTACATATAAAAATGTATTCAATTAAGTAGTAGCTCTTTTTATTGTCATTAATGAAAAACTATAAGGTAAAAAAAAAAAAAACTGCAAAAGGGGTGATGAGTGAAGACAACGAAATGGAGTCTGAAAAGGTGGAGTCATTTTAGGAAGTTTCTTTTATACTTGACCCCATCAAGTCCTACTGAATATATCTCCTAAGTAGGCCTTGAACCTGTTAATTTAGCACCAATACCTCTGCTGACACTCAGGAAGCCCAAAGCATTTTTTTTTGGAGATAGAGTCTCACTCTATCATCCAGGCTGGAGTACAGTGTCATTGATCTCAGCTCAATACAACCTCCACCTGCAAGATTCAAGCAATTCTGCCTCAGCCTCCCAAGTAGCTGGGATCACAGGTGTGTGCCACCATGGCTCATTTTTATATTTTTAGTAGAGATGAGGGCTTCGGCATGTTGGCCAGGCTGGTCTCCAACTCCTGGTCTCAAGTGATCCACCCACCTCAGCTGCCCAAAGTGTTGGGATTACAGGCATGAGCCACTGTGCCTGGCCCCAAAGCATCCTGAACCACAACAAAAACCTACTCAGTAATGTTATGAGACTCTTTGTTTTAATCTCCATTTGGCAGACAGAATGGAATAGTAAATATGAAAATCACATTATGTCACTGTCTTAAGATTCTTCAATAGCCTGCAAAAAATTGGGGGATAAAATCTAAACTCTTCCGCACTATTTTTCAAACTTCTTTTGACTGTAACCTCATAGTAAGAAATGTATATTATGACCGAGTAAATACACTCAAACATAAAACAAGTATGTCATAAAATTATCTTTGCTATTATATAGCAAAGATAAATATATTCATATTTTATTTTCTCTCCTGTTTTATTAAAAATAGTAACAAGTGTTGCTTATAATCTACTAGGTCATATTAATAACTTCTAGCAGGTTTTGCCTGGCCTGGCTCCAGTCAGCCTCTCCAACTCCCTGTGGCACCTTTGCCTCACGAGGCTCCAGCTGCAAAGGCCTTCTCTTAATACCTCATATACAACAAGCTCCACCCTCCTGTGGCCTTCAGTACACTGTTACCTCTGCTAGGAATGCTCTTCCCTCTTCTCTCTACCCTCAGTCTCCTTATCTGTTTTTCATTCTTTCAGTGCTCACCAGAAACTTTATGTACCTTTACATTTCCTGAGAAGCTGTCTCCAATCCCAAGCTCCTAGCAATGCTGTTCCAGTAATTTGCCTTCTGTTAAGACAGCCACTGTACTCACTACAGTCTACAAGGAAAGCCTCCATAGCTCTGGATGCTCGTAAGACCTCCACATCCTGCTATTAAGCCTGGCTCCTCCACGGAGATCTCAATTTCCATAAGCTCTCAGTGTGGTAGTCCTACTATCCTTAGGTTATAAAATGAATAATAAAAAATAATAATAAACCTACTGACCCCTAAAAGACCACTAGAGGCCAATCCTGTAATGCCTGATATCTCTGAGTTATCTCAGTACTCTTAAAAGCCTTAGCTTCCTGAGTCCTTGATCATCACTAGGACTCTTATCCCATCCATGTCCTACTTCACTCCAAGCTATGCCTTTTGGAACTCACAATGTACTTTCTACAAAATCCTCTACAGCCTCTACCTTCCCTCTGATTATTCTCTTCACCTTCATGATCCTATTGAAACCTTGAGCACAGTACTTGCCCAGAAATAATGTTTTCCTTCACGTCCTTCCCTCCACCTCGCTTCACCTAACCTCTCCCAAGGTAGACATAATTATAGCAAGTCAGCACCAACTCACCAAGGAATCAGATATACAAAGAGAAGTACTCAATGTTAATTTTTCTACAAGTACTCCTAATCATGACATTTACCGTCATAGAATGAATTGTATTCTATAGACTCTTTGAAGCAACTCTCATCTAAACTCTTATTATTACCCAATGAGAAAGCCAAACAGAATAATTAAACACAGGACTTTCACTTCCTGTTCCATACATTGATTGGCTCTTTACCCCTATTCACAGAATTAATCTATATCTAAACCTCCAGGGATTCATTAACTATTTTAAGAACCTACTACCAAATTCAAATACTACCAAACTCCTGAATAGTCTCCTATAAATAGAAGGCATTAGAGCAGTCATAGTAAAAACAGAAAAACAACAAAAAAACCCCACCCCTTCATATCCTCCACCTTTGACTACCAAAAGCATATGTAGAATCCCCAAATGCTGCACTCACTGTTCCTGCAGTCACATTACTATAATTAATAGGCTGGAGTATAACACAAATTACTATAATTTTAAATCTACTAACACGAGCATATAGCCTATCTACTTCTTACCACTATGAAGAATAATTATAACAAATTCTATTTGTTCATACTAAACAGACTTAAAAGCACTCACTGTGTATTCCTCTGTAACTCATATAACATTACTAATTATAGCTTTTCTCACCTAAATGCCATGAAGTTTTATAGGAGCCACAGCCCTAATAACTGCCCATGACAGCACAACATCAAAATGATTTTGCTTTACAAATTCAAACCATGATTGCAGGCATGGTATCTCACACTTGGTAATCCCAGCACTTTCCTCACCTCAGGTCAGGAGTTTGAGACCAGCCTGGCCAACATGGTAAAACTCCATCTCTACCATAAATATAAAAATTAGCCAGGTATGATGGTAGGCACCTGTAATCCCAGCTACTTGGGAGATTTGAGGCAGGAGAATTGCTTGAACCCAGGAAGTGGAGGTTGCAGTGAGCTGAGATCACACCACTGCACTCCAGTTTGGGTGACAGAGTGAGACTCCGTCTCAAAAAACAAAAGCAAACAAACAAAAAACCCAAATTGAAACTATGAACAAATCCACAGCCAAATCATACACAAGGTTCCCCAACTTATGACACTTAGACTTATGATTTTTCAACTTTACCATGGTGAGAAAGCAATACAATATTCAGTATGCTCCTTGACTTACCAAGGGGTTACATGGAATGATTTAACAGTATTTTTGACATTATCCAGAAGTAACCCCAATGTATGTTGAGGAGCATCTGTACTATTAGCTCTCAGACTACAGACATTACTTCCTTTAACAAAAACATGATATATATGGGCTAGCCTAACTAACCTAGCCTTTTGTACCAATTTTTTGGCTCCTAAAGCCAACAGATTACTTCTAACCTTTAAAAGTTTAAAAAGCCATATTGTTATACATGGAGGCATGAGTTAGCAGTTGATAGCCTTACTGTCAACTATTAACCTGAATGGAGAATTATTTGAAATTATATCATTTTTATGAACTAATTTTGCCATTAACCAAATAGGACTAATGTACTAATTATGGCCATATAGTCTCTCTATCTATAAATCACATCACAATGAGAGGGGAACTTCTTGTTGCCTGTCCAGTGCCAGGCCCATACCTGTGCCCCCTCTCCCAGTCCTCTATGATGAAAATCCCAAGGCCAGGGTTCCCCTTCATTTCCTGTCCAATTCCCTGAGAAAGCAGCCAACAGAGACCCCCTCCCCCCGAAGTGGCTGGAGGGACCTCAGGCCCCGAATGCCTGGAGACAGAGGAGGCCCCCCAGTCCTCAGCCTCACTGGCAGGCCCGGAAGTGCTGAACTCCAGGGGCTCAGGCGAGGAGGACATGGAAGTGGGCATCTTCCAGGTCCTGGCGTTGCTGGGGGTGGCGGTGGTGCCTGAGTGATCATCCAAGCTGGCTGGGTCTTCTTCTGGCATCATTTTCGGGGAGACGGTAAACAAGGAGTTATCAAAGGACATGTCTGTGGTGTTGAAGTTAATCTGGGCCCAGCAGGATTCTCCATCTCTTTTCTTCTGTAAATTTTTGAGTTTAACTTTTCTAACCACAAGGGCAACAGCTACCAGCCCAGCAAGGAGGAGGAGGGCACCAGCTAGGCTCAGGGAGAGCACCAAGATCCAAGTGGGCACTGGGAATATGTTCAAAGGCTCGCTGAGGTCTGACAGCTGGGGCTGGTTGTGCTTGCCTATCACTCTATACTGGCAGTGGAAGGGTCCCCCTGGAGCCTCATTGCTGCTGCCACTCAGGTTGAATGTCACTCCGCACTGGTTAGGTGGGGCCTGCAGGAGCTGGACCACCTGTCCCCCTCGATACAGTGTGGAATTCGCTCCCAGGAAGTCCCCGGGGGCCATGCATGCAATGTGGATGGTGTCCTCTTGGCTGCTTGGGTATGGGGGCACCAGCCGGATGGACAGTGCTGGGATTGCCAAGGAGCGAGGAAACTGAGCCTGATGATCTGAGGTGGAACAGTTTCATCCCAAAACCCGTCCGCCCATCCCCTCTCGTGCCCGTCCCACCCCAAAATACTGTGTTCCATGACACCGGTCCCTGGTGCCAAAAAGTTGGGGACTACTGGTCTAAAAGACAATGTCAGGATTTACCATGGATGCCAGGGGACTCACAGAGAACAGAGAGGAGAGAAGCCAGGCAGGTACCTTCCTGGGACTGATTTGGAGTGGGAGAAGCTCCCTAACATGGTGAAACTGAGTGAGTGAGAGTCCCTAAGGAAGCCAGACTTCCCACATGGACCTTTGTAATCCTGGGCACAGGAGAACCCCCAGCCCCAACCCCTGGACCACTAGACCAACACAGAAAGCTACCTAGAGTTTTTGCAGAGGCACTGCTCAAGCCCATGTGGAGCACCACAAGTCCCAGATCCCTCAGCACCTTGGTGCCAGCTGCCATAGCCCCAGTGGAGGCTGCAGTCACAGTGCTGAGGAGCCGTTAGACTGCCCAGCCCCTCCTCACCAGGCAAGGCTCAGCTCCACCTGCCCCCGCCTGAATGCTGCAGCACAGTGACCCTGTCCCCACTTGAACTGTGCAGGCAGGCACACCTCCGCATTCCGCAAGGAACTTCCCAGATAGCAGACCATGAAACCCATGCCCTACCTCCTCTGAGGCGGCTAAGGCTCACCAGCTCAGACTTTCAGCACAGCAACCGCACCTCCGCCTCAACTCTGCGGTGGGCTGCAGCGCTGTGTTCCTCTGGGGCAAAACTCCCAGACGTAACAGATAGTACTTGGCACCACTGCATGCCCCCAACAGTGAAGTTCTGCATTGTTTGGGAGGAAGGGAAGTGCAAACATGCCACGTGCACTTTTGCAACCCTGCAGCTGCCAGTCTCCATTGCAGGAGTCCTGCCCTCTCCAGTTAAAGGCCCACAGCACAGCTCCCCTGTCCCCACCTGAACATTTCACCTGCAGACCAGAGCCCTTCTGAAAATCCAACCCCCACATACCTGTAATATTCCCTTGGGCTCCCACCACCTAAGCGTTCTGTAGGACCCTGCATGAGAGTTTGGCCAGTGACCTGGGAACCAACCTGTCCCACCTCCCCACATCATAGCCAGCACCTGAACTCTGGGCTAGCCTGACTGCAGTCCAGCCCCTTTAGGATTCACACAGGCTGTCCAGTGGGACAACGAGGGGCCTGGGAACTGGGAAACTACCTGCCCCATTCCAACTCTGCTGGTACCTGACCATTTCCCCCAGGGCCTGAGGTGAGACCAATCCAACTAGCTGACACCACCAGAAACAACACTCACTCACACAGGCCTTGTAGGGGAGCCCCCCCTTCAACAGGAAGCAGCAGTACTGTGACATCAGAAAACAGGTGAGCCCTAATCAATGGGGAAAGAATTGCCTATTCAATAAATGGTGCTGGGATAACTGGCTAGCTATATGCAAAATAATGAAACTGGACCCTTAGCTTTCACCATATAAAATAACTCAAGATGGCTTGATATAGTACATGCAGAAGCCTCTGAAGATCTTATCAGTTTCTCATTACATTTTTCAGGTGTTTCATCAATTTTAGGAGCTACTAATTTTAAGTTTATTACAATTATAAAACCACCAGCCGTATCTAATATCAGACACCACTATTAATTGGAGCTATGCTTTTATTACTCTCTCTCCCAGTACTAGCAACCAGCATCACCACACTACTGACAGACCATAACCTTAATATACTTTTTTTGATCCAGCTGGAGAAGGAGATCCAATTTTAGGTCAACATTTATTTGTTTTGTTTGTTTATCCAAAAGCATATATTCTTATTTTGCCAGGTTTTGGAATAATCTCACATATTGCTACCTACTATTCTGGGGGAAAAAAGAACCATTTGGCTATATAGAAATAATATGACCCTTACACCTATAATCCCAGCACTTTGGGAGGCCAAGGTGGGAAGATCACGAGGTCAGGAGTTCAAGGCTAGCCTGGCCAATATGGTGAAACCCCACCTCTACTAAAAAAAAAAAAAAAAAATACAAAAATTAGCTGGGCACAGTGGCACACGCCTGTAGTCTCAGCTACTCGGGAGGCTGAGGCAAGAGAATTGCTTGAACTGGGACCCGGGAAGCAGCAGTTGCAGTTAGCCAAGATCACACCACTGCACTCCTGCCTGGGCTACAGAGTAAGACTCTGTGTCAAAATAATAATAATAATATGACCCATTATATCAGTCTGGCTCATAAGCCTTATCATATAAGCCCACCATATACCTACAGCAGGGAGACATTGACACCTGAACATATTTTACGCTAGCTACTAATAATTATTGCTATTCCCACAGGAGTTAAAGGATTTAACTGACTAGCAACCCTACATGGAGGTAATATTAAATGATCTCCAGCTATATTATGAGGTTTGGCTTTATTTTACTACTAACAGTTGGAGGCCTAACAGGAACGGTTCTAGCTAATTCATTAGCAGACATCAATCCCCATGATACATATTATGCTGTAGCACATTTCTAACATGTTCTATCAATAGGTGCCATCTTCACCATTATAGGATTTCTTTACTGATTCCCATATTTTCAGGTTATACACTCAACCTGAGCCAAAAATCCATCTTCTATTTGTAGGTGTTAAACTGACTTTCTTTCCACAACATTTTTTTGATTTACCAGGCATGCCACGACAATACTCCAATTATACTGAAGGATATACAACATGAAATGCCATCTGCTATGGTTTGGATGTGGTTTGTACGCACTAAATCTCATGCTGAAATTTAGTCCCCAGTATGGTGTCTTAGGAGATAGGGTTTAGTGGGAGGTGCTTGGCTCATGGGGGCTGGTTCCTCTTGAACAGATTAATGCCCTCCCTCAAGGGTGAGTGAGCACTTGTTCAACTCATTCTCAAGAAAGCTGGTTTTAAAAAAAGCCTGTCACCTTTCTCCTCTCTCACCAGGTGATCTCTGCTCTGCACACACTGGCTCCCCTTTACCTTCCATCATGAATGGAAGCAGCCTGAGGTCCTCACCAGAAGCCAAACAGACACAGGTGCCATGCTTCTTGTACAACCTGAAGAGACACGCACCAAATAAACCTCTTTTCTTTATAAATTACCCAGCCTCAGGCATCCTTTATAGTAACACAATATGAACTAAGACATCTATTATACTTGAATTAGTTCCACTCTAACACTTTGAAAAGTGATCAGCATCTATGTTTAAATACCAAAACTAGCAATATCCATGGAATTTTTTTTTTTTTTTTTTTTTTTTGAGACAGAGTCTTGTTCTGTGTCACCAGGCACCAGGCTGAAGTGCAGTGGCGCGATCTTGGCCCACTGCAACCTCTGCCTCCTGGGTTCAAGCAATTCTTCTGCCTCAGTCTCCCAAGTAGCTGGGACTACAGGCACTTGCCACCACTCCCAGCTAATTTTTTGTATTTTTGTAGAGATGGGGTTTCACCATGTTGGCCAGGATGGTCTTGATCTCTTGACCTCGTGATCCGCCCGCCTCGGCCTCCCAAAGTGCTAGGATTACAGGCGTAAGCCACTGCACCCGGCCTATTTTTTTCAACAATTCTAGCACTATTTACTTCCATTAAAATTTTTGAAACATGCCTGCTCTTAAAATCCATCACCAAAGAACACAGACGCCTTAAAACATGAGATCCCCCTTGTGAAAAAAAGCAAGCTAAAATTTATTCACCTCTTTCACTATTCCTACAATAATAGGACCACTTATTTATATTCTAATCATTTCATTCCCAAACATCATGTTTCCTGCCCCCAACTGCCAAATCCATAATAGATTAGTCTGAGTTCAACAGTGATGAGCACAAGTCGTACTAACACAATAACACACGTCAAAGGATGTTATTACCAATAACAGCAACAACTCTTAAAGCACAATTTCAAGCAACCACCCTTTTTTTTTTTTACCACTACCACTCAAGTTGGCAGATCATTTGCCCGTATACCCACCCTTCCAGCATTTTATTTTATTTTTTGAAACATGGTTTTGTTCTCTCACCTAGACTGAAATGCAGTGGCATGATCATGGCTCACTGCAGCCTCAACCTCAGGGCTCAAACGATCCTCTCACCTCACTCTCCCAAGTAGCTGGGACAACAGGCATGTGCCACAATGCCTGGCTACTTTCTATTTTAAGTAGAGATGGCGTTTTGCTATGTTGCCCAGGCTGGTCCTGAACTCCTGGTCTCAAGCAACTCACCCACTTCAGCCAAAGTGCTGGGTGGATTACAGGCTTGAGCCACTGTGCCCAGCTTACCATCATTTTAAAGACTCTCCTTTGAAAACAAAACAAAACAAAACAAAACAAAACAAAACAAAACAAAACAAAACAAAACAAAACAGAAACCTCTCTTGATTCTGTGGTTTACCCTGCAGTAGATAGGAGCCGCAGGGTGAACCACAGAATCAGGAGAGTGGCAACATTTCTCAAGAGGTATGCATGCCTCCTGTCTCTACCTTTTGCTTTTCTTTCTCTCCTACCACTATAATTAACATTTTGCCACATTTCCTTCCTAAATTTGTTCCATGGATTTTTATGTAGTTGAAATAATACTGCATATGCAAACTGTAATCACACTTCTTTCCCCTAATTATTACAGAACTGTTCTTAACAGTCTAAAATATTTTTAAACTCTATATGTAACTTTGAGGGTTCCTCAAATGGGCCCTCAACATTGTCTGGTGAGTTAATTCACTGTCCCACTGCAGTTTTTATTGTTGACTTATTTCTTTCTCACTCTCTTTTAAATACTCTATAATGAGGTTTTTGTTCCTCTCATTTCCAAACCCACCTTGTCAGGGTCACCAGCACTTTTCATCTTGCCAAATCCAATGGCCAGTTTTCAGCCTTCCTCTTACTTGACCTTTTAGCATCGTCTCTCTGTTAACTGCTTCCTCCTGGCTTCCAGTACACTGCATTCCTTCCTCCTAGGTCACAGGTTACTCAGGTAGTCCTCAATTTCCTTTGCTAGATTTTTTTCCTGACTGAATGCTGGAACACCGCATGGTTTAGTCCTTGAACTGTACCTTGCCTTCCATCTAAACCAATTATCTTCAAAATCTCATCCAGTTCCTCGATACAAAGATTAATCCCATATTTATCTCTTCAGTCCTGACTATCCCTCCACAGGCTTCCAAATGCATATCTAACTTTACCACACGGATACCTAATGAGAATATCAAACACCAAACTCTTGACTTCCTTCTCCAGATTTCCAAACCCTGATGCCTCTATTGCCAATCTTCAAAATAACTCCATTATGAAGGTATTAATTCTACCTTCAAAATATAACCTGTTCTCATCACGTCCACATATTAAACCCACTATTATCTTTAGTGTGAACTTCTGAACTAGTCGTCTGATTAGTCTTCCTGCTTTCATTCTTACCCTCACTGCCCACATAGCGCTCAAAGTGACCTTTAAACGAAGATCCTTTACTTATCTGCAAAAAATCAGCCAGGGGCTCACTATCACACTGAGAATAAAATCTTACTGCTTGCAATGGCCAAGAAGGTCCTACATGATCTGATCTCTGCCTGTTTCTCTAACCTTGCCTCTAATTTTCACTTTCAGTGGCCACACTGATTGTCAAGCAAGTGAAGCTTAATTTCTTTCAGGATCTTCTGTTCTCTCTGCCTGAACACACATTTATTTCCCTGATTTATAGCCAACTTTATTCAGGTCTCAAGTCAAATGTTACCTCCCTTGAGCTATATCATTCCTGGTACTAACCTATGAACATAGCAAGCTCTCAACAGATATGTGCTTGCTGGAGATACTTATCGAAGTTTAACTGTAAAAGAGTAACTGGGAAAGAATACTAATTTGAAAAATAGATAAAAGCAATGTCCCCAAAAGATACCAGACCAAAGGTTTTATTTAAAAAAAAAAAAGAGAGAATGTAAAAAATAAGAGTGGTAAGTGGGAAATGGGAGGGAGGTTCCACTGGGAATTCATAGACATAACCTTCCTGTTCTCCCTAGGTCTCAAGCCTTCTTTCCACAGGTCTTTGAAGAGAGCTTCACACAAACATCTCAAAGTGCTGCCACCTACAGATCAGCTGTATTATTAGTAGCAATAGCTGACACTGTGTGACCAGCCCTTATTCACCTTAACTGTCTTCTTGTCATGGTTCTCATCACCATCCAGGGCTCCCTTCCTTGCTCCAATAAGGAAAATACATTTGGTTTAGGGACTGCATATCCAGCTTAAAATAAAGGAAATGGTACACGGTCATGCTAAGGGATTCCCAGATTCAAATCCAGTCTATTGGCTAACAAAGAAAGGAGACACTGACAGGAAGTGACAGGGAAAGATGTGACAATCTAAAGGATGAGAAATAAAAAGACAAACAGTGGAGCTCTCCATTCCTACTTCCACTCAAACTTAAGCCTTTCCTTAGGGAATGGAGATCAGAAATTGACAATGAATGAGGCAGAAATGATGGGGAACAAATTCTGAATCTTATGTAGGATGATCTTACCCAATGAGATCAGGTTGCTGTAGTTCTCCAACATCACATCCCTGTACAAGTCCCTCTGAGCAGGGTCCAGGCATTCCCATTCCTCCTGAGAGAAGTCAATGGCCACATCCCTGAAAGTCACCAACAACTGAAACAACAAATCCATCATTTGTGAAAATATGGCAATGATTCTGAAGTGAAATGAGAAGAAAATGGAGGCGGTAATCGAAGGAAGGGGGTAACACAAAACAACAGGAAATTGGCTGCCTAAACCATAGTATTCTCTATCATTCCTATTGCCACAGACAAAACTTCCTCTGTACAACAGAACAATTCCATTATCCAGAAAGGTCTGAAAATTTAAAAAGCCAGCTGTGTGCAGTTTCTCATTTCAACAAAACACTGCATGCATTTATTTCACAGCAGATTTTAATTGCACAGATTAGGCTTTCAAATCCTTAATAACTAGTACATTCTCAATAAATACAAGTTCTTGTTCTCCCTTCTGCTTTTAAAGAAAAAGACTTTTAAAAATATTTTTTTCCAAACAATGTTTACCAAATCTCTAGGTGAGAAAATAAAATTTGAATATAACCTAAGAATTTTTTGAACACTCAGATTCATCAAGTTACAATATAATGTTACAGAATAAAATGGACATGTGATATTTCTGTTTTATATACAAAATGATCTGCTTATGTGGGAGTATTTGAATTGACAAATTCTCTAATGACTTTGGGCTCTTAGAATCTATAATTCATAAGACAGTATGCATCTGGCATGTTTCATTTGCTCCTACTTTCCATGTTCCTAGGCTATGGCAAGGTAGGCTAGGATGCCAGTACAGGTGCACAGAGACATCACTCTGAACTGGTACATTACAGGAAATCCCAAGGTAAACTTGACTATGATCGTCCTCTCTCATTGGTTCCTAGGCAAGAAGGCTGCGGTAGGCAGAATAAAGGCCCCCCTGCCCCAGCAAAGCGTGTCCACAACCTAATCCCCGAAACAGTATCAGTACTGACTCAATGTTAAAGAAAAGCTTGGTTGCTTAAATATAATTATTAATTTGCTTGAATTTGTAGATTATTCACTCAAACAGCCTCAGGAAAACAGGACCTTCAACAGAGATGAGAGAAAATATGCAGACTAACAACTCTGGGAATAGGCTGACCAGCCTGATAAGAATAGGCTGACAGCAACTACAGAAGGCCACAAAACATTGACCAAGAAAGCAATGGCCAAGAAGTCAATGACCTGAGACTGCACGTTTCACAAGAATGTTTTGATCATCATTTTTCCTGATTTCCCTTAAAAATCCCTGATGTGGAAACACAACTCAGTGAAGTGGTCTTTGAACACTAGTCCACTGCCTCCCCTGAGATGCTGGCTTCTTGAATAAAGCTAACCTTCCTTTCACCAATGCTCATCTCTTGAGTTTTTGGCTTTCAAGTGACGAGTGGCCTGGAGCTGAGTTTGGTTACAAAACCTATGCATACCTTACCTTACATGGCAAAAGGGACTTAAGAAGGGCAATTAAATGAAGGACCTTGAGAGGGGATTATCCTGGATTATCTGGTTGGGCCCAATGTAATCACATGGGTATTTATAAGTGATAGAGCAAGGCAGGTGAGTAAGAGAAGCAGATGTGATGATGAGAGCAAAGGTCAAAATGTTGTGATTGCTGGCTTTGAAAACAGATGGAGGCCACAAACCAGGGGCCGTGGACAACCCTTAGAACCAGAAAAAGATAAGGAAACAGATTCTCCAGTCATCTAGAACCTCCAGAAGGAACACGGCTCTGCTAATACTTTGATATTATCCCTGTTGACTGATTTTCAGACTTCTGACCAGCAGGCATATAAATCATAATTGTATTGATTTAAGCTCCTAAATTAGTGGTTATTAGTTACAGCAGCAACAGGAAACTATATCAGGAACAAGAGCCCTTCCTTCATAGGACCAAATTTAGAAGCGTCACAGAAAATCTTGCCATACACTGAGACTAGAAATATCCCACCAAAAATGCTGTCACTTTGAAGTGTAAAACTCAGGTTTGTAGAGAAGATCAAACTTTGTCATGTGTCACATTTAAACACTCATTTCTACTTCACCAAACTGTGGTACTAATGTGTACCGTTCTTAAAAGGAGGTACTTCTGTTCCCTCAGAGCTCTTGGCAGAAGACTATGCATGTGGACAATGTAGAAATACCTTGTCAAATGAACATCTAAAATGTGTATGAAGAAGGGACAAGCATTGAGGAGAAGGGCTCTTTGGTACTACGGCTTGCTAGAATGGGAGAGTAGTTTGGGAGCAGTTCCCTTAAGGGACCAAACAAGGCAGAAAATTCTGGGATAAATAAATCTGGTATTCACATTATATAACAAAATAATTGTGTTTCAAAAAGGAAAGAAACAGTAACTCACATGGGGCATGGTTTTTTAGAACTGTCAGAAGTGATCAGTTTTCTGGGTTCCTCTCCTGGAGGTGTGTGAAGTCCACAGAAGCCAGTGCTGCAGAAGGAAAAAAAGCTACAAGATTAGACTTGGCTCACAGCCCACAAAATTAACTCCTCAGAACTACCTTTATGTCCCCACTTTTGGGAGTTTGGAAAAAATCTCGGTCCTTCCACAAACCCAATGGAAGCCAGCAGAAGGGATTCAGGCCAGACCTTTCCTTAATCTCCGTGGTAAACAGGACCCTAGGTGCTGCTACTTTCCCACAGCATCTTCTCCTCCACAGTAGCACAGGGACACGCCCAGGGAGCCCTACACTATCCCCCTGGACCCAAACACTAAGTGAGGTGCTTTGCTCCCAATCTTTTTTTTTTTTTTTTTGAGACGGAATTTCACTCATGTTACCCAGGCTGGAGTGCAATGGCCCGATCTTGGCTCACCGCAACCTCCGCCTCCTGGGTTCAGGCAATTCTCCTGCCTCAGCCTCCTGAGTAGCTGGGATTACAGGCACACGCCACCATGCCCAGCTAATTTTTTGTAGTTTTAGTAGAGACGAGGTTTCACCATGTTGACCAGGATGGTCTCGATCTCTTGACCTCGTGATCCACCCGCCTCGGCCTCCCAAAGTGCTGGGATTACAGGCTTGAGCCACCGCGCCCGGCCCTGCTCCCATCTTAGGAAGGGGCTTCAGAGACCAAAATGTGGCCTCCTTTCAGACATCATGAACATCAGCTAGACTCACAGACATTTCATAGACACATCAGGGTCAACAGATGAAAACAGTCTCTATCAGAACACAAATGCCTGAGTTCATGGTCACAGCCTCATCCTGATTTATGATTCCCAGAATCTTGCAGTCAAGCATACCCTAAGTCTCAATCATGACAATTTATAATTTTCTTTTTTTTTTTTTTGAGACGGAGTTTCACTCTTGTTACCCAGGCTGGAGAGCAATGGCGCAATCTCGGCTCGGCGCAATCTCGGCTCACCGCAACCTCCGCCTCCTGGGTTCAGGCAATTCTCCTGCCTCAGCCTCCTGAGTAACTGGGATTACAGGCATGTGCCACCATGCCCAGCTGATTTTTTGTATTTTTAGTAGAGACGGGGTTTCACCATGTTGACCAGGATGGTCTCGATCTCGACCTCGTGATCCACCCGCCTCGGCCTCCCAAAGTGCTGGGATTACAGGCGTGAGCCACTGCGCCCGGCCGACAATTTATAATTTTCTTCATTAAGCATGTGAGAGCCTCTTTCTGAGGCTATCTAGGGGGGTCCCACCCTAAGTCACCTCATTAGCACGAACTCAGATGTGATCAAAAGTGGTTTATTATGCATAACAAGAGACATTCTCATCACTCAAAATATTCCAAAGATTTTTAGGAGCTCTGTGCCAGAAACAAAGAACAAAGACCAAATTTATTTCTTCTTCATGTTGCTGTTCAGATGGGCTCTCTCTCTATTGCCCAGGCTGGAGTGCAGTGGTAGGATCACAGCTCATTGCACCTTTGACCTCCTGGGCACAAGTGATCCTAACTCAACCTCCTACCTCAACCTCCTGATAGCTGGGAACCACAGGTGCACACCACCACAACCATCTAATTTTTAAAAATATTTTGTAGAAATGGGGGGCTTACTGTGTTGCTCAGGATGGTCTTTAACTCCTGGGCTCAAGCAATCCTCTCACCTCAGCCTCCCTAAGTGCTGAGATTACAGGCATGAGCCACTATGCCCAGCCTGTATTTTTTTTTTTTTTTTTTTTGAGACGGAGTTTCGCTCTTGTTACCCAGGCTGGAGTGCAATGGCACGATCTCGGCTCACTGCAACTTCCGCCTCCCGGGTTCAGGCAATTCTCCTGCCTCAGCCTCCTGAGTTGCAGGGATTACAGGCACGCGCCACCATGCCCAGCTAATTTTTTGTATTTTTAGTAGAGACAGGGTTTCACCATGTTGACCAGGATGGTCTCGATCTCTTGACCTCGTGATCCACCTGCCTCGGCCTCCCACAGTGCTGGGATTACAGGCTTGAGCCACCGTGCCCGGCCCCTGTATTTCTTATTATACCACAAATACTAATGCAAAATTCTGAAATAAAATACTAGGAAACAAAAATCCACAAGCACTTTCTTTTTAAAAGTCATGATTAACTTGGACTTGCCCACTATCAAAAAGTTGATTTGATATTAGAATGTACATTGATACAATTCATGATGAAACCACCTCTGTAGAATCGTAAAAAATGAGAAAAATCTAACATGACTGACTCCATTTTGCTTCTGAACTTACAGGCTAAAACTCTGTTTTACATATTCTAGTATGGAGGCTGAGATAACTATGAGAAGGCTTTAGTTTATAGTTAAATTTGGAGGGAAGGAAAACTGACTCCCCTCCTTGCTTGGAGACTAGAGGCACATTCATAAAGCAAGGTTAAAATTATGGCAGAGGCTTGGATTTTGCTTAAAGTCTGGGCATAAACAATGACCTGCCAGTGCTTAGTTTTTTTTTTTGTAAACTGCTTACTTCCCCAGTCACAGTAACTGCAGGTCACAAAATTTATAATTTTCTCAAGTACTCCTATAGATAATAACACATTAATGAAACCTAAAGAAGTAGTCTTTGAGATATTTTTCCAGATTTAGCATTTTGGTAGGCCAAGAGATGTCACCTGTTCCTGAGAACTACCCCTACCAGCTCCTAGAAGTGACTCAGCTGTCTGAAGACACCATTAGAAGCTCCTGTGATTTCACTGCCAGCCAGTCAATTTCTCCAGTTCCCCAGCCCTCTGCCTGCCAAAGTACCCTTTAGAAACCCTAGCCTCCAAATTCTTGGTGAGATGGGCTTGAGAGATTTCTTCCAATTCTCCTTGCTTGGACAGCCCTGAAATAATGATAATAATAATAATAGTTATTATTATTATTATGTGAGACAGAGTCTCACTCTGTCACCCAGGCTGGAGTGCAGTGGCGCAATCTCAGCTCACTGCAACCTCTGCCTCCTGGGTTCAAGCGATTCTCCTGCCTCAGCCTCCCAAGTAGTTGGGACCACAGGTGTGTGTGCCACCACATCCAACTAATTTTTGTATTTTTAGTAGAAATGGGGTTTCACCATGTTGATCAGGATGGTCTCGATCTCTTGACCTCGTGATCCGCCCACCTTGGCCTCCCAAAGTGTAGAGATTACAAGTGTGAGCCATTGCACCTGGCCCCTGAGATTATTAAATTCTGTTTTGCTGCAATATCTGCCGTTCTCAATGGTTTTGGGGGAGCAACAGGCAGGAACAATCTATCAGGCTGTGATAATGATAATAACGGATCTGTGGAAAAGAATCATATTATCTCTGTAAGGGTCAAAAAACACCGGGAAAATTCACTATCCATTCCTGAAAAACACTAAAAATAGAAATTGATGGCTATTTTAACATGATAGAAACAAGGCAAGAATACTCACGACTTTCACTACTATCTACCATTATATGAAAGTTTATCAACCAATGTAAAAAAACAATAGGCAGTAAGAACAGGAAAAGAAGATGTGAAACCCTCTATACCTGCAGATATGATCACACGCCTGAGAAAAACCCATGAGACTCAATGAAAACAAAAACCTCCAACAAATAAGAGAAATTAAACTAGCAGGATATAAAGTTAGCATTAAAAGAAATGGCTTTTATATATAAAACAATAACTACACAGAAAATATAACAAAAGAAAAGTCATAAAAAAGGCAAAATACCAAGGCATAAGCCTAACAAGAATGCATAAAACATATAGGAGAAAAAATGTAAAATACTCCTGTAACACATAAAAATAGATTTTAACAAATGGTTAGAATAATGTTTCTCAACCTAGTTTCCATTTTCCCTACAGGAGCAATTTTAGATATTTATTTTCTAAATCATACCCCCAAGATGAAATTTTAATAGGAAAAATATACTAGATATCTATTTATGTGTTATATATGTATACCTGTGCTTTATAAATAAAAAGGATAAGTATAGAGCTTATTCTTCGTATTCAAAACAGATTAAGAATGACTAAATAAGAATCCTAAGTAAAAGTTAAAACGGGCCAGGCACAGTGGCTCAGGCCTGTAATCCCAGCAGTTTGGGAAGCCGAGGCAGGTTGATCACCTGAGGTCAGGAGTTAGAGACCAGCCTGGCCAACATGGTGAAACTTCATCTCTACTAAAAATACAAAAATTAGCCTGGCGTGGTGGCACACGCCTATAATCCCAGCTACTTGGGAGGCTGAGACAGGAGAATCACTTGAACCCAGGAGGCAGAGGTTGCTGTGAGCTGACAGCACGCCACTGCACTCTAGCCTGGGCAACAGAACAAGACTCCATATCAAAAAAGAAGAAGAATAAAAACCTTTTTTTAAAAGTTAAAACAAAAGAGCTAATAGCATTTAACTTTATATTTGCTAAGTGACTTTTAATTTTTTACTCATAAATTATAATGCATCATATGACATGGAAGTCAGCAATTTATATAACATAAAAGCAATGCAATTTTTAAAATTCACTCAAAACCAGTTTTCCAGCAAAAAGTAAAACAATTAAAAAATCAATTTCTTAAAAATTTTTAGTGAACTTTTGCTAAACAGAATAAATTTTTAACTAATTAGTTGCTAGATCTTTGTTTAGATATCCTCAATGTTTTGACTTTTCAGCACTTGACACAATTGATGGATTTAACAATGTTAAGCTTTACCCAAGCCCTGTGATGTTGGAAAACCACCACCATCCCAGATACCCTCCCAGCCTTTGTGCACTGGGAAAGGGTTGAATGCAAATAACCACCCTTCCTGATATGGCTCACATAATACTCAAGGATGACTCCCTTTTCTTTTTTAACCTATGACAAAGCCAGACAGAACCTTCAAATTCCCATGCTTTGTCTCATAAATGATTAGCTGAAAAATTAGACACCATTGACCAATCTGAGCAAAATGCTCACTAACTTCACTCTACCAACTTCAGTCAGGCTTATTCTCTTCTCCCAGGTCCTGAAACTCTGGCTTGTTCTTGATCCTCAGCCATCATACTAATACAGAACAAACC